AAGCTAATTTTAAAAGAAATATTTGGGAACTATCAAAATCTATTGTTGTGTAGTGTTATTACAATATAAGCATTCGGCTTATGAAAATATACGGAGCATACTTAACTAACAAGCCCGTCGTTTCCTTTGAATTATCACATTCGACCTTCGCCTACAGTTGAATAAACTGTTAATCTTATTTGGTCAGCCTTGGCAAATATCGCTGGACAAAAAAATTATATTCAACTAAGGTTCTCCAAAACATTCAAAGTCAAAGTTAGTTACAGACTTTTTATGTTTTGAACAATTCTTCGTATAACAAAAAGTTAAGCGAATATATTAAGTCACAATGTTGCGATTAAAATTATAATAAAAATGCGAAATATGGAGAAGAAAAAATTATTAAAAAGTTTATAAACTGATAATATGTACAAGAATAGAAATTATACAAAATTTAATTTTTTAATTCCAGCTGTAATGGATCCAACACATCGATGGAATTTGTATAGGAAAGCTTTAAGAATGGATATTCCCGAAGAAAATATGCATGACTTTGATGAAGAAAAATATTATAGTCAAGCCGAGCATCGAATAAACACTTCAATTTTACTCTCAAAATTAGAGATATTTGAAGATATTTTGCTTCATTATTTAAAAAATGATGAAATTAATGAAGAAAATCAAAAGTTTATTGAAATTAAAAATATTTTTAGTGAAGTAAAGGATGATGCTTATACTCATTTGACTTATTCTAGTGAATATTCAGTTTTAATTTTATTCTCAATTGTAGAAATGCTTCAAGATAAAAAGGCTGAATTAATTGAAAAAGCCAAAGAAGGAGAAGCTGGATATATAATTAAAGAAATTTCACTTCGATTAAATGCCATTAATGTTATCTTAAATGATGAAAAAAACGATGTAAACTACTACGAGAATTGTTATATTACAACTAGAAAATTTCTCGCCTCAACCCACGCAAAATTTTTTGATAAAAAATTTGATCAAGATAAAAGCATCTTGGAAGAGATTAAGTCAAAAAGAGGAACAATTTATTTTCTTTTAACTATATTTGTTGGTGAAAATTTTAATAATTATTTGAAAAAATGGAAAATACTCGACAATGAATGTATGTAATATTAAATTAAAATAGTAAATCTTATCGAATATAATGTCACTTAATTTGATAATTAAAAATATCAAAAACATAAAAGTTCCGGCTAAACTAAACAGAATTATTGGAGGAACCCTTCTATAAATCCATAGACTTGTTGGGATATTCTCGATCTCTACGAGCCAGTTCACTCCCTTGGTATATGCAGATCAGTTAAAATTATCCCTTGGTATTTTCGCGGCTGTCACTTCGAGGAATGAGAATTTAAAAACACTAAAAAACCCTTCGGGGAAGGGTGTGCCGGGGATCGGGGTTTGCCGCGGAAAGTATGTCGGGATTCGGGTCGGGGATTTTGCCAAAAAATCCGTCGAGGTCGGGGTCGGGTTGTTACCTGACCTAAAATACATAGCAAATAAAAGTAAATCATAATCAAAAATTTAGTGCTTATCGGCGATCATCAACTATCCATTCACTACACAAAGTCGTTGACATCACAAAATGAAAATAAAAGATTTATAAATCATATTATGGCAAATTATCTTATTTGGTATAGATGGATAGATTTTTGTTTAAATATAAGAAAATGGAAAAATGATTACAGAAGGAGATTATTTACAGTTAAATGGGAAGAACAAAATGTTATTTTATATTTATACTATGAAAGATTATTTATTACAGAGGAAACTCATTTTCAAGAAGAAAATATTAAAATATTAGGTAAAATGGAAGATATAAATATGTTAATTGATCAATTAAGTCACAATGGAAATATAGTGGTAATCTATATACAGTATTTTCACTAAAATAACACATCCCCCCCCCTCTAAAATAACCCCTCCCCCCTCCTAAAATAGCCCCACCCCTAGAGGTGGATCGAATAAGATACCCCCCTCTAAAATAGCCCCCCCCCCTAGAGGTAGATAGAAAAATACTACCACCCCTTCTCTCTAAAATAACCCCCTCTCTAAAATAGCCCCCCCCTAAAATATTTAATTGTTCTTGCATTGTTTTTTTCAAAGCAAATCAATGTTGGGTCTCTTATTTCAATAAGATTAGAAATGATTATGGGGGATATCGGGGATTGGAGGGATATAACTAGATACTGAAGGATTAAGGGATTTAGTTAGTAATGAATTCTATTAAATTTTAGAAAAATTTATTCAAAATTTGGTGATAGATTTTAGCTTTTTAAAAAATTTGGACATCGAAAAAAATAATCCCTACCTCTAAAATAACCCCCCCCCCTTCTAAAATAGCTCCCCTCTAGAGGTTTTATCATTTAGTCTCTTGAATGCATTTCCTTAGATAAATAATTTTCAAAGATCATAGTCATTTACTATGAATTAAGGAATAGAAAAGCGAGATATCGAGCAAATTTTTTCGCGATACAATCTCACAATATTTAAATTTTATTTAGGAACCAAATGAATTAGAGGAATTTGTTGCAAAATGGATTGAATTAGGAAATAAAGAGTATAGCAACAAAACTTCTCAAGATTTTAAAAATTGGCTAATTGAGATGCATTGGATTACAATAAATAAATTATTAACTGAAGAGGATTCCAAACTGCTTTTAAACCTCTCAAAAAGTTTAGAGTTTTTAATAATTGCTTGATTTTTGCACCAAAATACCCCTATTCTTCAGCGATAAAAAAGGATTTATGTATGTCCTTTTGACCCTCTTCAAATCCAAAAACTTTGAAATTGCCGCTAAAGCTGTGAATCCTGATCTAAATTTCTAATATTGCACATCAGGGATCGCGCCAACAGAAAATCAAATTCCCGATTTCCGTGATTCGTGAATTTCCGAAATTTTCGAATTCACGATTTTCGTGAATCGGGAAATCGTCGTGAATTCTCGATTTTCGGGAATTTTTCCTTCTTTGGTTGATTACTAGGGGTTAGATTACTAGAGGTTCTTAATTGATATTTGAGCGATATAGGTGTATCGTGTACGAAAGGATGAAAAAATATAGTCAGAGCAGGAAAAGTAACCTGACATACCATTAGTTTTAAAATAAATTTTCACCAATATCTTGGCTCTAAAGTTTAAAATATAAATTATAGCAATTGAAGAAGAAAAGGGGCAGGAAAGATTAACTCAAAATCTTCAAAGTTTTTTTGATCAAAAAAGTACTAATAAATTAATAAGGATATTGAATAATCATAAAATAAAACTTGAAAAGAATCAAGCAGTAAATAAAGAGATAAAAATGAAGAAAACAAAAAAGAATGTAAAAGCAACAGCTAAACCCGATAATAAACGAAAAAATGAGAAGACAAAATCAGATAGGAAAATTCAGGTGATTAATCTTAAAGAATTTTTTATGTACTTATAAAAAGACACAAATATTATATATCATTTGATTTCTTTCATAATCTAATTTCAATGAAATCTGGCATAACTAAATAAGGTTATGAAAAAATGCTGATCATATCTCTGCGAAATAATTTGATGATGCGAAGAAAACCTGGCGATATCATGTGCATATTTTAAAAAGATTACAAAATTCAATTTTTTAAAAATAATTATAATCTATCTTCTAGACAAAAAGTTCCTAATCGAGCTAATTAATATGTAATAGTATATTTAAAATTCTATCTTAAATAGAAAATAAGGGCCGTTCAGGTATAATTAAAATTAAATTAAGGTGATTGGAACGAATACGAATCAAACAGATAAAGAACTTGAAATAATTCCACAAATAAATACGGACATAAAGGTTTAAATTAATTATGATATATCCAAAAAATTGCCTATATTTTATTTTAAGGAGAAGAAAAAAGTAATAACAGTAGAGAATGATATAATATCAGAAATTAAAAAGGAAGAAACAAAAATAGAAAAAAATGAAAATCATGAAGAAACCATCAAATTGGAGTATTTTACGGAAGATAAAAATTTGTTTTTAATTTTTAATGAATTTAAAAAAGGAAAACAGGCAATCTCACAAAGTTTTGTTGATGTTGGAATTTATGTAAATGAAATTGGAAAGCGTTTTGAATTTTTGGAGAAATTAAAGAATTTTTATAAAAATATTTTTGATATTTATTTTGAAAAAGAAAAAATAAATATTTTTAATAAATTGGAAGAAAAATGGAAAAAAATAAAAAATAAATTAATTTTAAAAAATAAAGAAAATAAAAAAATAGAAAAAGAATTGGAATATTTATTAATTCAAATATTAATAGAAATTGAAGGAAAAATTATTTTTGAAGAAATGAATAAAAAAGAAATTTTTGGAAATTTTAAAATAATTGAAAAAATTAAAGAAAAATTAAAATTTCAAAAAATTTGTAATTATTTTGTAAAAGAAACCCAAATAATTTGGGAGGGAATGTTCGGCTTAAATCAGAGACATTTTGTCTATAAAATGTTTAATTTGGAGGAAGATGATGAAAAGGAGTTGTTGATATTAAATGTACAGAAACGAGTTGAAGAAATTAAACAAATGAAGGAATTAATTGAATTAGGTTTGGACTTTTTTGAAATTAAAATTGAAAATATTTGGTTGACACAGTTGGAATATTTTTTGTTTTAATCTTGTTGATTTTTATCTAGACTAATTTTAATGAAAAGAAGTGAGATAATCGTAAGAGAATTGGGATCAAGAGTTTTCTTAATAATAAGGTTTGCCCCGAACGTTCGGGGGCGAACATGTCGGGGGATGGGGTTTTCACATTGTTTTGGACCGGGGTTCGTGTTATGGCAATTTTATTTGATAAATGGATTGATTTTACAAAAAATTTCAATTTTCGGTCGGGGTTCGGGGTACAACTCTACATAATAATGTTGCACATCATATGCATACACAGTTAAAATTCTAATTCACGAAACAAGCTTTTCTTTCCTCATTGATATGCCACTTTATTAAAAACTTTCTTTTAAGACAATACCAACAAAGAATTCATGAATCCGAATGGCTTTCAACCTTTATCTTTAAAGGAAGATTCCTTTGAAAATAATGATGAAGAATTACAAAATAAAATAAATATGAAAATTAAAGACCCAATGGAATTATTAAACGAGGAATTTAATTTAAATTCATTAATTAACCAAAGATTTTTTCCAAATAGAAAAAATATTAAAAATCCAATGGAATTCTTTCAGACTTTATTTGATAAATGGATTAATTTAACAAAAAATTTCAATTTTGGATTATTAATGGCCAGTCCATTCAATAAATTGGGAGGACATATCCAAGCAATTGTTGTTGCTGGTGGGACAGGAAAAGGTGAAGGAGAAGGAGAGGAAAAAGTAAAGGCTAAACAAATATTCAATGGAGAACCATCAACGTTTTGTGAACCTCCATTTGTGTATAATTGTCCAGAAAATTCGTTATTCTGTTTTATTTGCAAGGTAAAAACAGGAGTTTTATGAGAAAAATATTATAGAAAAAAGGAAAATGATTAGCAATCACAATAATTATTAGTCAAGGTTGTCGGATAGTTAAAGCGCTATCCGAGCAGAAATTTTCGATGTCCGGATCCGACAACCTTGCTGGTTATTGTCCCTTTAAATTACTTTTCTATTGACTGGAAATTGTTTATAAGTCAGGCGACCGGAACTAGCATAGACGGCTCCGAAAATCGCCAGCCCGGAGCTGGAGCCAAAATTTGAATAGTTGCAAATAACATACATAACACAGCATAACATATTCCTTAAAAAAATAAATTGCATGATTTTGTTTTAATTATAAAAAACTCTTTCATAGGTTTAATTTCTTTAATAAGACCAGACCTGCTCACGGATACTGATTTTGGTATCTGTATCAGCATATATACGACGGATACAGGCGGATATCCACGGGCATTTTGATCTTATCTGTATCCATATCCGTATCCATGAGCAGGCTGAATAAGACAAATTATTTAGTCACCAACATTTAAATCTATTTATTTCCAGAAAAGCCTCCACGGATCAATCAACAATGTACATCGTTCTTCTTCTTCTGACGATAAAATTTATTTAGAAATTAGTGGGACAGAATTTGAAATATTTTTTGTTTATAAAGAAGAACAAAAAGTCCCCTCAAATGATACAAAATGGATAGAAACTTTAATGAGGAAAATTTACAAAAATTTAAATAAAGAAGGGGTTGTTGACAAACAACAAAATTCCTCAATTCTTTATAACCTTTCTTTATTTAAAACTTTTGAATTTTTGGAGAATTTATTAAAAAATAAAAATGAAAAAGAAAAAAATATTTTTAATCAGTCATTTATTTATTTAAAAAATTGGGCAAAAGGTTGTTTTTGTAAATTTGGAAAATTAAAATTAAATTTTAATTTTAAAATTTTAGAAAATAATATTTATAATAGTCAAGAGGGATTTCTCGATGGAAATTCTATTTCTTTAATGTTGACAAAAGTAATTTTGTTATATCCTGGAGCTAATTTATTTGAATTGTTGGAAAGATTTTTCTTTACATATTCTACATGGTATTTTTAAAGAAATAAATTAAATATTAAGTTGGGGGTATCGCGATAATAACATTAAGGTATGAAATTCCGAGAAGCTTACAAGGGAACAATGTTTAATGTAAGTGCGAATTTAATATATTTTTTGGTACCATTCGATAGAGGACCCTCGATTTACTATTGTTGTTTGAGGGTTTTCCTGCAAAATTAGTTTGGGCCGAGGTATGCCAGTTCAAAGTTTCAGTCCTTGGAGGGGTATTTTCGCTAAAAACCCGCAAACAACAATAGTAAATCGACGGTCCACTACCGAGTGGTACCAAAAAATATATCAAATTCGCACTTCAGTAAGCAATGTTCCCTTGTTAGGAGCAGAAAGACTGTGAAATTACGATAACGGGAAGAGATATAGTTAATAATATTATGACTCTAATAAACAGATTTCGAGTCGAGAACATAAAAAACATATCACCCACATTTTAAGGAATTGGCAATACCCTATTTTCTTAATCAAAAACCAAAATGGGCAAATAAATCAACAAAAGTCAATGACCATTTTCACTCCTACATATCCTGAATTGTCATTAACAACAAAGATTACAAAATCAACTCAAGAAGTAATTGAAGTAGCTTTTATTAAAGGTATTTTTAGTTAATCTAATTTTAAATAAAATAAAAAATTATTAGGTATTGAAGAAGTTTTGAAGCTTCGCCCACTCGATAAGAAATAAAATGTTTCCGTTGGATTTAGAAAAGTACAATAATTCATTGTTTTATATTTAAAATTATGTTATTGAAATTGATGTCGAATAAATTCTTTATTAAATGAAATATTTTATTAAGATTTTTAATGTTGGAGTGGAGTTTTTGAAATATTAGCAGAAATGTACTTCAGAGAAAGTTGGCTTAGTTTCATCCATCTTTAATTTTTTTAGTGAAAGAAAAATTAGCAAATTTCACATTTGATTTAATCCTCTCCAGTTATCTATGTTTTTAATTTTTTGAGAATCCATACTACAGCCAATTCCTTTTTAAATAGAAAAAAATAAATTTATTCAGAGTAAAAAGTCACGCAGTAAAAAGTTATGAATTATTCAAATAGTGCTTTTTATCTGAAACACCCTGTATATTAAGGTGTAGGAAAAATGATAAAAAAATCAAGGCGCCCTTATTTGCGTATAGGGCTTAATTTTACTTTTCAAGACTCAAAAATACATATATTTTTACTGAATCAATGATGCACTCTTGAAAATCGTGGAATGTAAGTATTGCGCGCGCTATTCTTGCTCCATGAGCGCGCGTTTTTCTATAAGCAAGGCAATGGAATCATTAAGAGAAAAATTAAAAATTTTAACTCCTCTTTTAAATTTCTCAACAATTTAATTAATTAAATAAATTTATATTTTTATAATTTCATTAATACAAAAAATTCTTTCAGGAACACGATTACAAGATTTTTAATTTTCTCTCATTTTTAATATGTGTTTTATAAGCACCCTTATAAAAATTTTTATCGAAAACTATTAGGTTAGAAATAATTGGAGAAAAATTTTATTTTAAAAGTTTAAATTGTAGTGTTGGACACAACTGGTTATTAAACGTTACTCACGGTTTTCGGTTATCGCCGGTTTTCGAACCCCGGTTAACTGTTCCGGTTCGGTTAACCGTTTGTGTCCAAGATGATAATTATTAACTTATTAGCTGGAATCAAATTATTATATGACCGTGGCTACACGACCGCTGCGACCCCGAAATTTGCGTCACAATTGTTTTAAAAAATTTCAGTAAAAGTTTTAGAATGTTTTAAATGTGGCACTTAAACAGGAGGGGCACAAACTAGATTTGGTGTATCGGGTCTAGTTTTGCTTGTTTGAAATAGGGTCTTTGATAATGTATTATTTTAGTTGTGTTTCATGTCTTTGTTTAGTATTTTTAGATTTTTCTGCAAATGTCATGTTCTTAATTGTCGGATCCACTTCAAAGTTGTCGGGAATTTCAAAAATAATTATTTTTTCCTTTTGAAAAGTCGATAATTTTAAAAATATTTTCTTTGAATATATGTATTTTGCCGAATAAACATGTACTTGGCAGGATCTTTGAAATTGCCGTTGCATTTTGCACTTGGTCTTGTGAAAGAAATCATATGAAAAAATCATATGAAAAAATCATATGAAAATACATATGAAAAATCATATGATTTTTCATAAGGCAAATTAAAAATACAATTTTGAATAGAGCGTTAATAAGCAATTAAATATAGTAAAGCAGCTGGCTATAGCTATTTTTTTTCCTTCAGCTAGTGGCGGTTACCAGCACCTTCAGTAGACCGGCTGATGTGACCATGCCGCCTACTGCGCAGCCTTGGGGATTAAATAGCTTATATGCTTTACAGTAATAATATTTTTAAAATCATTGCCGAGTCCTTTTTTAAATAAAATTTTATTTATTATTTTTCCAGGGTAATGATTTTTATTTTGTTTTCTAAATTAATTTTTTTGAATATTTTCATTCAAAATATTAATGTTTATTGCGTATATGGAACGAATGGAAATAATTTTCCTGATGTTAATCATATACAAGATAACCAAAATACAAATTTTGGACAAAATTCAAATGGTAATTCATATATGATGCAGCACTTTTCAACACAGACGGATCCACAGATACCGGAACAAAAAAGAAGTAGGTTACTACAATAACCTTACAATTACCTCCTTATCTTGTAATGCGTTTGCTTTTCTCTTTGGTGGCCCAATTTTGGACTCAACTTTAAATTTATAATTTTATTAAATTTAGAGAAGCAACGAAAGGTAAAGCCAAAACAAACGATAGTTATTCCTGTTGATGCTGCTAATCTCAAACATTATGTGAAATACTGTATTTAATTCACTTTATTAAAAATTTAAATGAGATTAAAAAAATTTTTCTATTAGATTAGGTAATGTACATTGAAACGTTATCGTTTCCCTATTCATGGAATAAGCTTATTTGCTTAGTGAAGGAAGTATCGAAACGTAAAACAACTCGGGATCTTCACCCCTGTTTAGCGTTATGGCAAATTAGCTTTAACAAAAATAAAATTCGCAAAATTTTTAAATTTAAAGATACTGGCTTAAACACTGGCCGACAAGCCCAACGACGAATGATCAGCTCTATGCAAAATCAGCAAAGCCAAGTATATCCAAATCAAATTTCAAATGCTAGTGGTATTGGTCTCCATCACTTTGCAAATGAAGGATCATCGAGTTTTGATCATAATCAACATTTGTTTCAAAATATTTCTCAAGGTAATCAAGGAGCAAGTATGTTGGGACATACAACATAATGGTTTTGTATTTTGGTAGAAAAATCCTGCTTAACTTTTCTGACTTTACACATATTTAAAACTTCAAAAGACATCTTTTCTTCCTAAATTTGAAATTTTTATAAATTGTGTTTTTTATTTCTGGAAGCTTCATCTTCCTTTTTAAATTATGGGTATGTACATATGGGTACATATGTACAAATTATGGGTATGTCTATATCAAAGCTGGATTTTCTTCTGCTTCGTCATATCTTTTTTTCTTCTTAAGTTCTTTCCGACTTCCGTTTTTCGCTTTTTAAAATTCAGATCTACACGTAATTTAATAGAAAGCACCATATAAAACACCCCATAAAACGTCCCATTAAAAAATTCCAGATAATCACCATTTAACTCCTACAAATTTTGGAAATCAAGGAGGAATATATACAAGTGGACAAAATCATAACTTGAATTTGCATTATTCTGGACATTCTTCTCAGCATAAACAACAATGGATGGAAGGACATGGCAGCAACATTAATCATTTACAAAAACATTTGTTGGGAACTGGAAGTTATTTAGGGAATATACATTCAGTTCAAGAAACTCCAAACAATCTGTTACCCAATTTTCAACCTCATAATCAGTCTGGAATCACATTTGGAAATATGAACGATAACACCCAAATTAACTCTGCATTTATTCCCTCTATGTCTCAAATTTCTCAACAAGTGTACAACCCGTACATGTCAACTTATCATCAAAATGTTTTTAACTCAGAAACCTCAAACACACCAATGAATCGAAACTCAGGGAATTTGTTGGCAGACGAGGAAACGGTTTATTGGCTAATTTAAAATTTAAATTTTTAATAAAATTTAAGCAATTCGATCATGGAAATCATGAAAATTGGAGTTTGGGTAAATTATTTAAAAAATTTTAATTGATCAGAATTTTTTAAAATTTATTTTAAGATGCCATTGTGAAGAAAAACAAAAGAATTATGGACTAGGACAAAGATTTCGAGATGAGAAAAATTTTTTTATTGGAAAAAAAACGCTAAACGTTTATAACGTAAAATTTTTTTGGGATTTTTTTAAATTTTTATAAATATTTTTATTTAAATTTTTATTTAAAATTTTTTAAATTTTTATACATATATTTATTTTTTAAAATTTAATATTAAAATTTTTATTTTTAAGATTTTTTTAAAACATTTAAAATTATTTTTATTTTAAAATTTTTATATTTTTAATTAAATTTTTATGTTTTATTTTATTTTTAAAATTTTAAAATTATTAAAATTTAAAATATTTTTAATATTTTTATTTTATATTTTTTATTTTTAAAATACATATTTATACTTTTAAAATTTTTTACGTAGATAACATTAAACAATATTTGTTTCGTAATTTTTTGATAAAAGTTTTCATTTTTAATTGAGGATTAAAACATTCTGTATTCGAACGGTTTTTTCCTCCAAAATACCGATACCGATAAATACAGATAAAGTCCAAAAAATCTCGTTCTATTGTAAGAAGAAATTTGGCCTTGAGAGAGAGAGAGATGGCCTTGAGAGAAGGAAAATAGATTTTCCCTCTAATTATCTTATGTCCAACCTCGCGGAAATAAGTGGAAATTGCATAAATCGAATAATTTTATTTAGTTTGTTTAATCCTCGAATTTTTGTCTCTGGAATAGGGTTTCACCGGAAGTTCCGGTTCCGGTTCCGGTTCCGGAAAGTTCCGGCCTTTTTTTGGTTCCGGTTCCGGTTCCGGGAACCGGAACTCAAATTGGTTCCGGTTCCGGTTCCGGCTCCGGTTTACAAATTGGTTCCGGGCAAACCGGAACTTTTTTACACCCCTAACGATCCCTTTTTTAAAAAATATTACTAAACTACTCGCACTCTCGGTCTTTGTATTATTAGAAAAATCGAAAGAAATATGTTTAATCTCTTTAAATGGCCCTCATGTAAGCGGGTGGCCGAGTGGTTAAGAGGTTAGGCAATAATGATTTAAAGGTGGATTCGCTTCCCTTTCATAGAACATTAAATTTTGATGTTTTTCTTTAAATAATTTATTTTAGAATTTTACTTTTGTTTTAAAAATTATTCTACTTTTACAAGGAGAAATTAGCACCTTTTGTCTTTCCAAAATTCTTAAAATTTCTCGTTTGACTAAAAAATGGTTAATTTTTTTGCTCATGCCTTCCGAAATTCTCAAAATTTTCGCCTGCGGCGCTGTAAACAGAAATTAAATGGTCCATCCCTGCTAGGTAATATCGAGGGATTGAGTGGTGTAAGGTAGAATAATTTAATTAGGTAGATATCAGGGATTGGATATCTGGGGATTTGCAGTGAAATTGGGGGATTTCGATGTTATATTTATCGGGGATTTGATATCTAGGGATTTGGTAGGATTAAGGATAATTCGAAGAAATTCTGGGATCAAAGGGGATATATAATTGGTGGGGTATCGGGCATTGGGGGTAGACAACCCTACTTAAAATACAAAATTTTTTTAATTTGCTAGCAAATTTTTTTAAAGTTCCGGTTCCGGTTCCGGGCCGGAACTTAGAAAAGTTCCGGTTCCGGTTCCGGGAACCGGAACTCAAATTGGTTCCGGTTCCGGTTCCTGTTCCGGTCAAAATTTCGGTTCCGGTGAAACCCTACTCTGGAACTTTCGTCTCCAAGACTTTTCGGAATTTTAGTCTTCAGCGGAATTAGTCTTCAGCGGAAATCCACCGTTGACGGAACATTTCCCCCGTTGACAGAACACTATCCCCTGTTGACAGAACACATTCCCCGTTGACAGAACACATCCCCCGTTGACGGAACAATCCAAAAAAGTCAACGTATACTAATGGAAGTAGAGTTGAGAAAAAATCACAGGATTAGGGTTTTGTGAGAATTGTTTTCATGAAAGAGCAGCAGCATATTAAATTAGAAAAAGCAGCATATTAAATTAGAAAACACCATAAATCGAAATCAATGATTCAGAAATTTTTAATTAAGAAAAATTTATCATTTTAATTTATCAATCTATAATTCTAAAAGCAAACTAAATCATTAGTACTAAATTATTCTAGGAAAAAATTCATATATGTATTATCAGTTTCTTATATAGAAAAATGATCAATTAGAAGAGAAGTTCAACCACTGCAATTGATACCTAAATGGAAATGTTTTGTTAATTTTATCTACTTTTAGATTAAATACCATTTTTCATAGATTTAAGTTTGTTTTTCACCAATTTGCCCGAAGCTGTCAACCGAGAATCATCCCCAACCTGTGATGGAGTTGTTCCGGGGGTGAGGGAAGCTGCTGCCTCAGCTTTATTATCTATTGCCCAATTGGCATAAGAAATTTTGTTTGAATCTAAGAAAGACCACCATTCGTTTGAAGAGGTATCATCTATACTGCCTCCACCACTGGCATCAACAGTGCCGTATTCTGTTACGAAAATGCAAACTCCCTTAAATTATAAGCAAAGTATGGAAAGAATTTTTGACAGATTATTGCCTTGTTCAAGGCTGTTTGGGCTTTGTCACGAAGAGATTGTTTGTGGGAAGCCGCGTAATAGTGAAGAGTGTAGCAAAGGTTAGATCCACTAACTGGATTTGCTGCAGCAATATCTACATCCTGAGACCATGTTGTTGTTCCGAGTACTATTAAATTTTTTTTGTCATATCTGCGTATGGCGGCAACGACTTTTTCGTGATAGCTTTTAACAATACTCCAATCAATTTGTAAAGGTTCATTGAAAGTCTCGTAAATAATGTTTGGATTTGATCCGTATGTTTTAGCAATGTAAGTGAAGAAATTGATCTGTAAAACAATAAAGATTAATACTGGGCATTGTTTTGTCTAAAACAAACTCAGGTTATGTATGAGAGTATTTTTCTTAAGGACTAATTGTTATGCGGATTAAATACTGAAACCACAGAGAGATTAAATACAGATGTTGACTCAAGAATTATTTTTTAACATAATTAAGATTAAAACTTCTTGAAATGTTAAACAGATTAGTGGTCCCTCGAAATTAACTTCTAACTCACCGCCTGATCAACATGATTTTGGGCATTATGGTCATGCCAGTCAACAATTACATAAATTCCTTGAGCTATAGCAGCTTTTATCACAGTCTCAACTTTAGCTTGTTCAGCACTTGGATTCGTTAAATAACCGCCATTTTCTACTCCCATAGCTGCTCTAACAACATTAGCATTCCAATTACACTTTAATGACTGAACAGTATTTGCTGTATAGAAGACAGAGCCTTCACTCCATTGAGACCAAAAGAGGGACATTCCCGCCAACACTACAGGCTGATTATTAGATCCATAGACTTTATTACCTTAAATTAGTTTTTAAATTTATAGTCACTTTAACTATCCCTGACTTTCAGTCATTTTTTATTCAGAATCTTGAAATGTGTTTAGGTCACACTTCTTGCAAATTTGACACTTTTTTGTGTGACTCGTTTACTTTAAATTCTCAAAAAAAGTTTACCTTTTACAGAAAGTTGTCCGAAAGGAGGAGAAGCACCATTCAAACCTTTAAAAAGAACAAAAAAGAGGATAGAAATTAAAATATTCATTTTAATTATTTTTAATAATTATTGTGATTACTACCCATATTTTTGAATCTATTTATATTCCCATAAATTCATTAAATTTGCCCTTTATTATTTACTTTAAGTTTTTTTATTTTTAAATATTTCAACTAAACAATGAATTTTTTAAATAGAAATTTTAAATGTACTTTCCTAATTAAAAAATAATTTTGGGTTAACAATTTAGAAAAAACTAAAAATTAGTTTGAAAAATACTATATTAAATATATCTGACAAGGGAACATCGGATACTGTGTACAAAAATTCGGTATTTATTTAATGTACCATTCGATAGAGGACCATCGATTTACTATAGTAGTATACAGTTGTGAGAAACTACCTATATCATTTCACATTCAATTTGCTATAATTTTATACCGAAAGTTAATTATGTAGATACGTCCATAAACGTCCATATATGTACTTCCAAAACCCTACATATGTATAATCAAAAATTTTCATATGCTTTGAACACAAAAAATCATCATCATCCAATACTAAATTTGAAACCAAATAAATAATAAACATTTTCTAACAAACTTCTGTATTAAGTCAATTTCTTTGACTTTGAAAGCCCACATTTTTGTTCTTTTTGTTTTTAAAATTTTGCTTTCCCCTTTTTTAGGGTCTTTGCGTAATATGCTGCCAACTGCGGCATTTCAATTACTCTTTCAATTTTCAAGCTCTTTTTATTTATTACATTTTATTAATGAATGTTTTTATTTTTTTTTACCAAAATTTTATTTTTCTTTTTAAAAAAAATATTTTTTAATTAAAAATGCGTCATATTTACAATAATAATTTTTTAAAATAAAAACTTTCCAAAAATATTTTATAATTAATTTCTATTTTTATATCATTTTCTAATATTTACAAATTACAAAAAAAATTTTTTTTGACATTTAAAAAAAATTAAATGAATATTCAAAAAATACCAATTAAGGTAAATTCCAAAAATGTGTTACTTTTTCAGATTTATGATTTTTATGAGAATTTTCTAATAATTAATTAAGGTTTTAAAATAATTTTCTCATCAAATATTCACACTTAATTAATTTTTTTGCAATTTATATTTTAATGTTAAACCAATTTTGGATTACTTTAATTAATTATTAAATTTATGAAACAAAAATCAGATATAAATTTTACAAAAATTTAGTTACAAAATTATTTTAGTTGAAGACTTGTATCTATTTTGAGGTAAAACTAGATATTAGAAGTAGGGTTGCCGTTTTCGAGTCGGGCCGACGTTCGAGTCATTTTTTCGGGCCTTATTTTTATAGTGCCGGCCCGACCGATTCTTTTTGGGGCCAAAATTTGATTCCCGACCGGACCGGGCCAGTAACCCTAATTAGGAGAGAAAAAATTTAGTTATTATTTTTTTCAAAAATTTATCAGATCTTTTATTTGATTTCAGATAACCCGTGATTCCTAGTATTTATAATAAAACAACATTATTTTCAATTATATGTACAATATTTAAGTTAAGGAGTTAATTTAATAAAAAAATTTTGTTACTAAATTTTCCAAAGTTGTATTCATCAAAATGACGTTTAATTTTTTGGGCAGGGAAAATGTTTATTGAGAGCTGGTTTTATCAAAAATACTAAATAAAAATATACTCACATAAAAACATCTCGAAATTCCATTTTTAACTATGAAGTTTTATTTTTAAACTATTTCTTGTATTTTCTAATTTATTCTTTAAAACTTGTGAAAATGCATTTTCTCATGAAAATCTTAACACAACTTTTACCAATTTTTTAGTTATTTTTAGAAAATTTTCTTTCGTATTTTTTAATTTTTTAAAATAGTAAAAATATTTTTATATTAATTCATTAAAATATTTCAATATATTCAAACAACAATCTACAAAATTTTTTACATTTATTTAACTATATTTCTTTTTGCACCTGCAAAAATTTTTTTAATTAAAATAATTCTTTCTTTAATTTTATTAATTAATTAGTTTTCTTATTTTAAAAAATTATTTTTAATTTAATTAATTCCTTTCTCTTTTTTATTAAAACAAAAACATTTTAAAAATTTATTTAATTAATAAATGCAATTTTGGAGTGTTTGTAAGCTCGTACCAAAATTCGTACTCATACTTATGTACGAAATTCGAGTACGAGGTACGAGGCCAAAAATAGCCGGCACGAAGTACGAGTACGGGCAAATCTGAAATTTATAAACACCGTTTGAGACTTAAAACCATACAAAAACCATACTTTATCCTAATAAGAAATTTCGGCTCTACTCCAGTTTATGCGTCCAATCGACTTTTATGCGTCCAATGAAAGTTTATGCGTCCAATAAAAAGAAAATTGGATTTTTCTTGGTATTGTAAAGTTGGGGTATGGCTCCAAACCATTTCTTCATGTTCGGGACCTACGTCCACTGGGTCTGGGACCATTCCTTACCCGACCCCTCGAAATTTCTGAAAGTTATAATCGTTTTTCTGAAATTTTAAAAAATTGGCTGTAACTTTAAAAAATTTCTAGGTATAGAGTAAAGAATGGTTCCAGACCCAGTGGACGTAGGTCCCGAAGATGAAGAAATGTTTTGGACCCATACCCCAACTGTGCAATACCAGGAAAAATCCAATTTTCTTTTTAGTGGACGCATAAACTTTCATTGGACGCATAAAAGTCGATTGGACGCATAAACTGGAGTAGAGCCGAAATTTCTATGAATTTGAATGCAGAATTGGGGGTGGATACGCGGAGTAGATCAGTCAGTGCCTAGCAGCTATGTAGTATGATCGGCTTGGACTGAAGCAGACTATAGCAATAACCCTATACATACTTCAACAATTTTTATAATATTCTAAAATAGTCGAGTTTTTGTTATTTAATTCAAAATATATGAAAACAATTAATTTTCATTTAGATTTTATTTAAAGAATTTCAATGGAAAATATTAACAACAGCGACGGATACAATAACAGCAACAATAACATAACCCACCAAATAACTAGTTTTCAACCCTCAAATTCTTTTGAATATTTCTTTTTATTAATTTTTAATATTTTGGATCTCCTTGGAAATTTATTTTTGGTTGGCCCTTTTTCGGCATTAAATTTTTATTTAATTTTAAAAACATCTGTTTTACATCCAAATTTAAAATTTATTCTTCAATCTCAAAGTTTGGTTATTTTTCTTCGAACAATTTGTATGTATAATTAATTATTAATTTTGTGTCTAGTTGCTTAAAAATGCATTTCAGAATCAAAGATTGCGTAATGATTATTAAATTCGACTTGAATTTTATATAAATCGAGTTTAAGCATAACAAAAATAGAACTTATCTAATAAACTTAAAATGAGAAGGCAAATAAATGATTAATAAAAATCCAATATAAATTTTCGGAACACATAAATAATTTATAAAGATCTGCATCAAACATTAATAACGGCGGTAAACTATAGGCATTTGAGCTTAATTTTTTAAATATTTTTGAAAATACAAGAGGGGTTAAATTTTTATATGCCGTTATTAGTAAAATAGAGTGCACAATCTATTTATCTATTAAAGCTATATTCAGCATGGGGTATTCAGCATATTGATTCCATATCTTTATTCCAAATCCCTTTAAAAACCTTTCTTAACAACATGGTTCTTGTTAATTCTTTACCCTTGGAATTTGCTAAAAGATCTTATATTTCAGAAAAAATATCTCAGATAGATACAGGCAGTAGATACAGAGCCTAGGTTACAAATTAAATTGGTTATTTAATATTAATACTCTCAATTTATTTCATGTATCCCTCCCATATATTATTTATGAACATAGATTAACTAATTCAATTTTTCTAACAACAATTTTTTAAATCTTAAGTCCGATCTTATGTTCTCATACATCGTCTGGTCTTAAACGAAATGGTCTATTCTCCTAAAATTGTGGTTTTTGTTTACAGTGTAGTAATGTACTTTAGAAACTTTCTTTGTCATGCAATAATTATGGAAAGATTATTAGCAACTATTTGGGTATCTAATTACGAGAATAATCGCTCAAGATGGTTTACGTATTTTTGGGTTATTATTGATGTAAGTTAAAATATTTTTCACAAAATTTCAAGAGAATCATCAGTAACGGGTTTAGCAATAGCTTGATGGATAGATATTAGATTTATGTTGACATTGACTTATAAGATACGGATTATGTAAATCCAGATAAGGTTAACAGTTTGGAGTTTTGGCAAAAGTTAGCAAAGCTAGTGTTCATACTTCAATAAGAGTTTTAAAATTTAACTTGAGCGCCTTTTCCATTTTGACGCCCTTTCCATGCACTTCCCAGCTTGAGCACACTTCTAAGATTGTTCGGAGACGGGGACAAGGACGGGGAATTTTCAAAAAACTTTAACTCCCCGACTTTCGGGGACGGTGTACAACCCTACGCCCCTCCATTTATAAAATATAAGTTCGCTAGAATTTTTCGGGGTTTTTGTGATCCGGATCAGGATGTAAAAGTATGTCATTTCTTTGTAATTTTTTCAGATTTCAAAATTATCTATGTAGTAGCTAATATCCGACAGATTTCTAAAAAATAATTTTACAGATAATCATTACTGTTGTGACAGCTTATTTTTTCTCAAATTCAACCGATGTTGAGACATTATTAGTAAACGTTGTAAGTCAATCTGTCATGTCAACATTTGGAGTTATTGAAATTTTTGTATGAAAAGTTTATTAATTTAGGTAACTAAATTAATATTTTAGATTCTTCTAAGATTGTTAAGACATAATGAAAAAATTTATTTTGAAAGAAATAGTTTGGCATTGAGTGCTCATAAACTAACTGGTCGTTATCAGGTAATATTTATCTTAAAGACTTTGTAGTTTTCTTAAAGACTTTGTAATTTCGAAAAAAATTATCTTAAATAAGTAAGAGCGAGGTAAAAATTTAATCCCGGGCAGACTTCATCTGCGACCTCCTGGCAGTTATTGCTAGGCCTTTCGCTCACCACGTACAGGTGCTCTAC